TCTTTCTTAGTGCTGTCAAGGTCAAGGTGCTTCCTGTTATTTCTCTATTCAAGGGTAGAAAACATCACCAGGGTGCACTGTTTTATTGAGCATTGATTTATTTCCAGGGGGTGGAAACGGGATTCTTCCCCTAGGTCCCCAGCTGTTTGTATTCATATTCTTTTACTCACACACAATGTTATTGCTTTTGCCTTTGGAATATGTGTTTTATTAAAAATATTGGCTAACCAAGGACTTGATAACGGCATACACTGGAAGATTTTTTGTCTGTTTTCTGTTTGTTTGTTTGTTTGTTTTTTGAGATGGAGTTTCGCTCTGGTTGCCCAGGCTGGAGTGCAATGGTGTAATCTCAGCTCACCCCAACCTCCGCTTCCCAACCTCCGCTTCCGGATTCAAGAGATTCTTCTGTCTCAGCCTCCCAGGTAGCTGGGATTACAGACATGCGCCACCACGCCCGGCTAACTTTGTATTTTTAGTAAAGACAGGGTTTCTCCATGTAGTCAGGCTGGTCTTCAATTCCCGACCTCAGGTGATCTGCCCACCCCGGCCTCCCAAAGTGCTGGGATTACAGGCATTACCCACCGCACCTGGCCTTGTTCTTGTTTTTTGTTTTTTGTTTTTAACAAAACAATCAAACAAAATGACCGTGGAGACTCAGTCCTGGGTTCCAGTTTTCAACGAACTGCATTTTCTTGCAGAGTGAGCCTGCACCACCACAGTGCCTGTATTCTGTCAGACTCAGGCTACACGCAGATCCTGTAATGCATGAAACAACTTAAAAAAATCTCAAGGGGTCACAAAGATCTTTTAAATATGTTAAAAGCTCTAAATGATTAGAACTGCCTAAAATAATGTTTCTCTTCCTGAAACCTGCTTTGTTTTAAACTCAAAACATTCCTTCAGTCCTTGGGCATTACTTTATTGATTCCGAAAAGGGAGGAAGTCTTCACGAGTAGGAGTGTGTTTCTTTATCATTATTATTGTATTATGTCCACTACCTCAAAACGGAGTGGTTCATTTTCTTTGTATGGTTTGGTAGCTAGCAACCCTGGTTCTATATTGGGATCACCTAGAGATACTTTGAAAAACACATACGCTTCAGTCTTGCCCTTAGAAATTCTGATTTAGTGAATACAAAGTATAACTCAGCCAACTGAGAACATGTGACGTGCGGTCGAGGCTGAGAACTATTTATGAGGATAGCAAAACTAGTGTTTTAGGCCTTGTAAAATTTACTTTAAAAAAATCAGTTTATACCCAGGTATCTCCCCTCTGCATCTCTGTTCAAACCTTTTTAATGAAATCCCTCTGGCTTAGACACTCTCCCTGTGAAACCACCTTTGCAAAAATCATAACTGAGAAATTACAGTGAAAGAGGTCTGACCTAACCGACACCACCTTGCTTCTAACATTCAAGCTGTTCATTCCTAGGTGTAGGCCAAACTAATTTTGGGAGGAACTTAGTTTATAGTTTAGCTTTGAAACAAAGAATATAACAGCACTTTCCCCCAAATAAACCCCCTTCCTGTCTGGGGACTAGACTGCCTTTGCAGGACTAACAAATTAGCTACAAGATTAGAAGTTATGGTTTAGCAGTGATGCAACTGGAAGCTGCAAGATTCTAAACCTCCCCAAATGGCTCCTGGGAATGAAATCACTATTGTGAAACCTAAGATCAGTGCTGGAGATATTTTGCAGACCCTGCACTGGACGGATCAGCCGGCACCTCCCAGATCAATAAACAGGCTCATCTAGTCTTGTGGCCCCCACCCAGGAAGTGGCTCAGTACAAGAGGACAGTTTTGACTCCCTAAGATTTCACCTCTGAGCCGACCAATTATCACTCCTGACTCACTGGTCCCCTACCCACCAAATTATCCTTAAAAACACCAATCCTCGAGTTTTCGGGGAGATTGATTTGAGTAATAATAAAACTCTGGTCTCCCACACAGCTGGCTCTGCATGAATTACTCTTTCTCTATTGCAATTCCCTCCCCTGTCTTGATAAATCAGCCTGTCTAGGCAGTGGGCAAGGTGAATCCGTTGGTTGGTTGCACCTCCACCAAACTCCTATTAGGGTTACTGTCAGCATCACTCATTAGTCTGATGTTTATGTACAATGTGTGTGTGTTGCTTGTCTTCCCAACTGGTCTACAATTCTTTATGGAGAGGAGTAGTATCTTTATATTAAGGGAGGAGACCACCCCTCATATTGTCTTATGCCCAATTTCTGTCTCTAAAGAAAGAAAAAGTAAAAACTAAAAGGCAGAAATGAAATCCACAAGCAGACAGCCCAGCACCACACCCTGGGCCTGGTAAAGATCGACCCCTGACCTAATCAGTTATGTTATCTATAGATTACAAACATTATATAGAAAAGCACTGTGAAAATCCCTATCCTGTTTTGTTCTGATCTAATTACTGGTGCATGCAGCCCCCAGTCACATACCCCCTGCTTGCTCAATTGATCACGACCCTGTCACACTCACCTCCTTAGAGTTGTGAGCCCTTAAAAGGAACAGGAATTGCTCACTCGGGGAGCTCGGCTCTTGAGATAGGAGTCTTGCCAATGCCTCCGGCCGAATAAGCTCCTTCCTTGTTTAACTCGATGTCTGAGGAGTTTTGTCTGCAGCTCGTCCTGCTACAATATTTACCATGCATCATCCTAGCGCAGTACATTTCACATAACAGGTACTCAATAAAGGATGTTTCATAAGTACATATGTAGTTTGGATATTGATGAGACACTTATAAATGCAAAAATAAAGCAATGTATATAATTCATAATGAGACCATTAGTTTATATTAGCAATGGGATAGACTAAAATATGGGTTAAAACACAATTATTTAATATGGTAGACATAAGAATTTAGGAAACTTATAGATTTCAAAGTGTTGTTTAGGAAATAGTCCAAATCAAAAACAGTCTTGGGAAATGCAACAGCATGGGGAATGTCATCTAGGTTTTATGGGAATCTTTCCACAGTATCTCTGCCTACTGGCATCCAGAATCATAGATGTGTGCTTACCTGGCAGGGGAGATACCATGATCACAGGATCATCAATGATTCCAATGGTGAGAAATCAGTACCTGGCAGTAGAAATCGGCACTTTACTGTGGGAAAGCCTGAATGGTTAGGAACCATGTGGGATATGAAGTCAAATCTGCTACCCCAAACCTTCAATCTTTGGTTTCAGGCGGTGCTCTTAGGATCATCACAAAACAGATTGAATCTCTCCCCTCATAACAGTCCCATTAAATGATGTAAAGTCAACTATACTTGTGAGTCTTACTCCATGAACTCAGGTTTGCAAGAAATATAATTTTACTCAAGGGATGACTTCTAAATCACCGAAATCACACAGGATTCTCTTTCCTAATCCACTCCAGCCCAAAGGCACTACCTCCTAATACCATCTCACTGGGGGTTAGGGCTTCAGCATGCAAATCTGGGAGAAAACAAATATGCAGTCCATAATACTAGGTTCATAATGTGCCGTAGCCCTTATTCCCTTAGTCTCTATCCCCATTCCACTGTATTATTTCAAAACAGAACTTACTTCCCATGGGACCATTAGAGCCTGAAGAAGAGATCTCTTCTGATGCATCATCATTTTTCCCGGCAGCACAAATATTCTGCTCTTCCTGCTAACGCTAACACTATTTGAGCACTTACTATTTCCCTGGCTCTTTTTTTTTTTTTTTTTTTGGTAGAGATGAGATCTCACCATGTTGCCCAGGCTGGCCTCAAACTCCTGGGCTCCAGTGATCCTCCCACCTTGGCGTCCCAAAGTGCTAGGATTACAAAGTGAGCCACTGTGCCTGGCTGAGGTTTTGTTTTAAACTCTTTACATTTACTAAGCTCTTTAATCATGCAGGTATTATTACTATTCACGTTATACGGACAAAAAAATTGAGACATAATTTACCCAAGGTCACACAGCTAGTGAGTAACCGGTAGGGAATATTCCAACCTAAGCAGTCTTAATACTAGAATACAGTGCCTTAGTTACTCAACACTTAAAGTGTATCACCTTAAAGACAACAACAAGAAGTGTGTGAAAATGTGGAAAGGCTTTGATGATGTTGGATGCCTTATAAACAGAAGAGCTTTTAAATTAAACTTTTTAGTCAGTTATCACACACATACTGAAAAGTGCATAAACGATGTTCAGTGAATTTTCATAAAGTGAACACACTGATGTAACCATTACCCACATCAAGGAACAGAAAACGGAGCCGGGTGTGGTGGCTCAGGCCTGTAAACCCAGCACTTTGGCAGGATAACTTGAGGCCAGGAGTTGGAGATCACCCTGAGCAACAGAACGAAATCCTGTCTCAAAGGAAAAAAATAATAGTAATAATAACCAGACCACCCATCCCCACTTAGAATTTCCTTTTGTGCTAAGTTTCAAAATTCAAAATAAGCATTCGCTTATTATTTTCTACAAACTGCATCCTATAGTCGTCTCAAACCTTGATTCAGATACATTTCCATTAGTAGTATAGTCTTTCTAAAGCAGTGATTTCAAAATGTGGTGCCCAGCCAAGTAGCATTAGACTTTCAAATTCAAGGACCCCAAGCTAGACCAGCAGAACAGGAATTCTGGGAGTGGAACCCAGCAATTGTGTTTTAGCAAGCCCCCAGGATGATTTTGATGCATCTTGAGGTTGGAGAAGCACAGATGTTAGTCTGTTGGAATAGCTGTGGCTCGTTGATCAAGCAGTAACAGATGAATACTAAGGTTTAAAAGTGTTATGCTTTACTAACAGTGACAAGTTCTCATTACCCATCTCTTTCTGAAATAGGCTACAGGCAAATGCGTTTTCATTTTAAATAACCGTGTTGTTGCTCCAGTCAAGGTTGCATTTTACAAGGAATAAGGAAGATAAAGCTGCCTCCCCCTATCCTAATCTCACTCCTCGCTCAGCACCGAGTCCTCCAGTTTACTTACAAAGCCCTGCCCTAGACTGGCGGAAAATTCAACGCACAGAGGCAGGAACAGGTCTCGGCCAATCAGAAGCCAGGCTTGAGCCTCTCGCCCACCTCCCGCCGGCGGAAGAGACTCTCCGCGGCCACGCCCCGTGCCCTCGAGAGCGACCCAATCGTTGCTCGGCGCCCGAAGGGGCAGTACCCGCGCGAGCCATTGAACATGGCGGAGGACGCTTCCTCAGCGGCCCCAAGCCCGCGGGGCTGCGCGGATGGTAGGGATGCCGACACTACCGAGGAGCAGATGGCAGAAACGGAGACAAACGACGAGGAGCAGTTCGAGTGTCAGGAACTACTCGAGTGCCAGGTGCAAGTGGGGGCTCCCGAGGAGGAGGAGGAGGAGGACGAGGGCCTGGTGACCGAGGCCGAGGCCGTGGCTGCCGGCTGGATGCTTGATTTCCTCTGCCTCTCTCTTTGCCGAGCATTCCGCGACGGCCGGTCAGAGGACTTCCGCCGGACCCGCAACAGCGCCGAGGGTGAGGGCGGACCGCGTCCGGGCTGGGGACTATGCGGGGGCCGGATGCGGGCCCCGTGGCGCGCGGCAGAGGGCTGGTTCCCAACGTCGCCGAGGGAGGTGGGGAGAGAGGGGCTGCTGCGGCCGATAAGCTGAGAGTCCGAGGCTCCGGGCTGAACTTGTTCGAATCCCGGTTCCGCCCGTTGTCAGCATCTGAGTTTTTCTCAGATTGTTTTCCTATTCGATAAAATGAAAATAAGACCCTGTTTAGGTTTGATGCAAGCATTAAATGATTTAAAATGTATACAGTTCCACTCAACCCAGTACCTTTGTCTCTTCTGGCGCTTTCTCAGCCAAAATACTCAGGTATTCCTGTGGTAATATTCAACAGTCACTGTGTGGCCTCCAGTGACCACCCCACCCCCGCATCAGTGTTATATGTTAATTTGTGAGCTATTAAACCTCATTTGGCCTGCTGGCTGTACAGCAGTTACTTTCTGTATAGTCTTCAAATAAAAGTAAATGCTGGCCACATACCTGTAAGTCCCAGCTACTTGGGAGGCTGAGCGGGGAGGATCGCTTGAACCCAAGAAGCAGAGGTTGCAGATCGTGCCACTACAGTCCTGCCTGGGTGACAGAGTGAGACCCTGTATCAATAAATAAATGAATGAATGAAACCGTTCATGAAATCTGCTGCTCAGACAGCCTATAAGTGATGGACAAAGACATAGATCCATAGAAAAAAACCAGCATAGTTTTTTCAGTCTAAGGTTCTCCCAGCTCAGATGTTTGAGTTGATTAGCGGGGCCTCCCCGATCCCGCCCCTGTCCCAAGATGGGGTTTCACTGTCTCCCAGGCTGGAGTGTAGTGGCGCCATCACAGCTCACTGCAGCCTCAGCCTCCTCAGGCTCAGGTATCCTCCCATTTCAGCTTCTGGAGTAGCTGGGTCTGCAGGCGTGCACCACCACCCGCAGGTGTAAGATTACAGGCGTGAGCCACCGCGCCTGGCCTAGTGTAGCTTTTTGAAAAACAACAGAAAGATGTTCTGGTACTTCATTCATAGTTGGCGCTAAAATTACAGTGCAAGTATATGTTTATAATACTATAATTATGCTATTTAATAGAATTTTCAGAAAGACATATTGACATTTCGTCTTCACCATAATCCTGTGAGTTAGGCAAATAATCTTAGTTTAAGGTACTGATAGGTTATAAGGGAGTGTTTCAGCTCCATGCTTTACCTTCCAGTTCCAAGATCTTTCCTCTATATTGCAGTTAACTCTGGAGCCAGGGATACTTAACATTAAGTAGAAAATTAAATCCTGGAATGAAGCGAGTTCCTCAGAATTATTAAAAAGTTCTCTTAGAGTTGGAGACATCAGTATGAACTGTTTAGCTCATGTAGGTATAGATGACTTAGAAATATTTACATATGCATGTGTAGACATGTATTTCCTTGCTCTGTCAGATAAAAGGGCACAGAAGCAACCTAACTTTGAGTACACCTAGCATCCCGATCTTGGTTTCTAATAGCGTTCTCCAATAAAAGGAACCAGGGCTGTTTGGAGAAGTGACTGATTCTGGAACTAGGACAGGAAATATACAAAATAAACCTGGAACATCTTGTAGTGCCAGGAAGTAAGGAAGTGCAAAAAAAACCAACCAGACAAACACTTCAGTGGTGGGGTTAGAAAGGGACACAGAGCCATCTCCAAGACCTCCCAGTGGCCACAGCTGAACCACTAGTGCAAGAATGTAAAGTGGTATTAGTGTATAAGCTTAAAGTATATCATAAATATCCACGAGTCCATACTGATGTGAATAAATAATTGAATAAATGGGAGAAGAGGCAAATCTTGCATGCAGTATTCCAAGTATTAATAATTTGATGTCGCTACTCCATCCTCAAGGAGGTGGAACATAACTCCTTGAGTGTGGTTTGCACACAGTGACTTTCTTCCAAAGAGTACGGTATGGAAAGGGGGCAAGAGAGAGTTAAGTTCACAGTGGGGAAACCTGACAAACACTACCTCATCTAGGTGAACAGGGCCAACATCAGCAGTAATAGTTGGTGATATGTTCACTTGTAATGAAAATAGAATTTTATCATTGTGGTCTTATTCCCAAAAACCCATCACTTCAGTCTTACTGTGAGAAAAGCATCAGACAAATCCCAGAAGGACATTCTACAAAATACCTGACCAATACTCAAAATGTCATAATCAGAACCAAGGAAAGTCTGAGAAACTCTTGTAGACAACAGGCTCCTAAAGAGATAAGACTAAAAGTAATATGGTGTCCTGAATGGGATCCTGCCACAGAAAAAGGACGTTAAGTAAAAACTAAGGAAATCTGAATAAAGCATGGATTTAGTTAATAATAATGTGTCAACACTGATTCATTAATGTAACACAACATACTAATGTAAAAGGTAAAAAAAAAAAAAAGGAGAAATTGCTTCAGGGTATATGGAACCTATCTACCATTTTTACAGTAATTATGTGAGTTTAAAACTGTTCTAGAAAATAGTTGATTTTTTTTTTAAAGAAAAAAAAAAAAAACCCTGTTCATAAAAACATCCCAGAGCCAAGGTTAAAAACAAATTAACAACAAAAACCCACCTTCAGAGTTGTAGCTCAAGACTGAAGGAATAATCTAGGCTACTCTCATTATTTTAAAGTTAAGGGCACAGAAACCAAAGAGAGTCAGCTGTTTTTCAAGTTGCACTGCTAATCAGTGGCCAATAAGCAAACTGTGAACAGTGTTATTTTTGGGTTCCCATTTTTAATTTTTAAGGACTTTTAATTTCTTATTTTATTGAATCTCAGTTTTCAAAATTGTAAAAATATACAATTCTTGATGCTTTCTAGAAAATTCTTAATTCTTTTATTTAGACTCAGAATTACTCTCATATCTCACAGATCTCAGATAATACCTTTTATAGACTGTTAACCCTACCGTGGGAAGCAGTGTAGTATAACAATTAAGAACATGGACTCTGGAGTAAACTGTCCCAGTTTGATTCCTGGCTCTGCTACTTTTTAGCTTTAACCCTGTCAAAAGAAAAAATTACAACTAAGTTTAGTTTAAAGACCTCACTTAGCTTTATTGTGATTCTGGATTCAGGTAATACTTTATTCCATAAAATAAGTGCTCAATGAATTGAGCAGTTGGAGGTTGACTTTATAGACAGTAAGGACTTAAGGAAGCTAAAACAACAAAAAGAAGATTGGTTGTTTCACAATTACTTGTAAGGCTGGGACAGGGAGACAGAACAATAGATCTGTGGGATGCAGAATGGATGTTGTGTTAGCAGGCATGAAAGCAACAGTAATTTGCTTGTACATATGTCTCCATCAGAGCTCTTGACTGGTTAGGCGCATTATCAATGAGCAATGGTATTTTGAAAGGAATCTTTTCTAAGCAGTAGATCTCAATAATGGGTTTAAAATATTGAGTAAACCATGGTGTAAACAGAGGCACTGTCATCTAATCTTGTTCCATTTCTAGAGCACAGGCTGAGTTGATATAGCATAATTTTTAAGGGCTGTTAGATTTTCAGAATAAGAAATGGGCAATCGGTTTAACTTAAAGTCACTAGCAGCATTAATCCCTAACAAGAGAGTCAGCCTGTCCTTTGAAATTTTGAAATTAGGCATTGACTTCTCTCTGGCTGTGAAAGTTCTCTATGACATCTTCTCATATGAGGCTGTTTCATCTACATTGAAAATCTGTTGTTGGCTAGATGCAGTGGCTCACACCTGTAATCCCAGCACTTTGAGAAGCCAAGGCAGTTGGATCATTTGAGGTCAGGAGTTTGACACCAGCCTGGCCAACATGGCGAAACCCCATCTCTACTAAAAATACAAAAATTAGCTGGGCATCGTGGCATACACCTGTAATCCCAGCTACTCAGGAGGCTGAGGCACGAGAATCGATCACTTGAACCTGGGAGGTGGAGGCTGCAGTGAGCCAAGGTCATGCCACTGCACTCCAACCTGGGTGACACAGCGAGATTCTGTCTCAAAAAAAAAAAAAAGAAAAATCAGTTTAGTGTAACCACCTTCATTTGTGATTGTTGCTAGATCTTCTCAATAACTTGTAGCTTTTACTTCAGCACTTGCTGCTTCACCTTGAACTTCTATGTCATAGAGATGGCTTCTTAAACTTCATGAACCAGCAACCTCTGCTAGCTTCCAACTTTTCTTTTGCAGTTTTCCCACCTCTTTCAGGCTCCTTAGACTTGCTGTGTATTAGGCTGTGGCTTAAAGGAACATTGTGGCTAGTTTGATTTTTTTCTATCCAAGTCAAACTTTCTCCATATGAGCAATAAGGCTCTTTTACTTTCTTATCATTTATGTATTCAGTGGATTAGAACTTTTAATTTCCTTTGAGAACTTTTCCTTTGTATTAACAGCTTGGCTGTTAGGCACAAGAGGCCTATGTTTCAGCCTATTGTGGCATTTGACATCCTTTCCTCACTAAGCTTAATCATTTCTAGCTTTTGATTTAAAGTGAGAGACATGCACTTCTTTCACTGAAACACTTGGAGGGCATGTAGAGTTACTCATTGGTCTAATTTCAATATTGTTGTGTTTCAGGAAATAAGGAGGCCTAAAGAGAGGGAGAAAGGGGAGGAGCTGGTCAGTGGAACAGTTAGAACACACACAATAAGTTTGTGTCTTATATGGCCATGATCTGTGGTACTCCAGAACCTTTACAATAGTAACATCAGAGGCTATTGATCACAGACCACCATACAGATACAATAATAGTGAAAAAGTTTGAAATATTGCAAGAATTATCAAAATGTGACAGGTACAGGTACTGTTAGAAAAATGGGGCGGGCACATTGGCTCACACCTGTAATCCCAGCTACTCGGGAGGCTGAGGCAGGAGAATGGGGTGAACGTGGGAGGCGGAGCTTGCAGTGAGCGGAGATGAGCCCCTGCACTCCAGCCTGGGCAACAGCAAGACTCCGTCTCAAAAAAAAAAAAACATGGTGCCATTAGACTTGGCTCAAGCTGGGCTGCCGTAAACTTTCAATTTATAAAAAACATGCTATCTGCAAAGCACAATAAAATGAGGTATGCCTGCACCTATCCTTGGTGGTACTCATTAAAATTTTAATTAGTTGCTTACATAACTTTTTGTTTAATTTGTGTCGTCTCAGATTAAAACCTTCATGGGGGCAGAGACTGGCTATCTTAAGTCATCACCTCCTAATACAGGCTGGCAGTAGATGTTCAGTAAATATTGAATGGCTTGTGTTTAAATTCTATATAAATTTTGTGCTCTCTTAAAATCCTGTTAAATTCTATTATGACTGCGTATGGTCCAGATAATCTCTGGTATAGCATAAGATTATGTTAGAATTGAGGGAGGAAATTGGGTAAAAATATATTTGTCTTATATGCCTAATTGCTAAAGAACTGCTTTTCAGTTTGCTAGTTTTTTAAGCTTTTTATATACACCAGCCAAGCCCTGGGTTAAGTGTAATGGTAGTGGTGGCACCTTCAGGTCTTAGGTTAGATATTATTTCCTCAGAGAAGCCTTCCCTGACACCTCCTCTGTGCAGAAGATACTTAAACACACAGATTTCTTGTTATATGCTTCCAAAGCATTCTGTACTTGTCTTTTTAAAGTTTTCGCCACATTTTTACTTCAGTAGTTCAATGGCTTGTCTCTCATTGCTACATGGTAAAAAGCTCACTGTGGTCCATGAGTATGGCTTACTTGGTATTGTATGTAGTCACTGCCTGACTCAACATCTGGGTGGGCATTCTAGTTTTGGTGAGGTTAATATTAATATGTTTTAAAATACAGCTTTGTAAGCTAAGCAGACTCACTTAATTGAAACATTGATAAAAATAATATAAAATATTTTCTGTTATATGACATGTTTCTAGGTATAAGTTTCCAACCAGTGATTTTACACATTTTACAATTTGTATCTAAATCTTTTTTGTTAATGTAGACTGCTACTTGTGAAAGAATTTTCAACAATTTTTATTCTGCACGTGAAAGTTTTATTTTTTAAGAAATGTCTTCATTGCTATTCTTTTTTTTGTTCTGATTTTTAATCAGATCTTAAATGTACAACTCTATGATAATTTTTACAACATGTTTGTAGCCTATTACTGAACAAACCACACAGTGGCACTACTGGATCAAGTTTGATTTTAATAAAATTTACTTTTTTTCTTTTTTAGCTATTATTCATGGACTATCCAGTCTAACAGCTTACCAGTTGAGAACGATATACATATGTCAGTTTTTGACAAGAATTGCAGCAGGAAAAACCCTTGGTAAATATGTGTTTTTATTTTATATTGGAAATATTTCAATCTGTGTCTAAATGTAAGACAATGAGAAGAAACAGATTTTTTGCGGGGGGGAGTTTGCCTACAAGTGTCTGGTGCATAGGGGTGTGAGGTGTGTGTGTGTGTGTGTGTGTGTGTGTGTACACACATACAGTCATATCTAAAGCAAGTAAAAGAAATGTAGTCCCTGTCACCTTAGAACATTGGTTCTCAAACTTCAGCCTGCTCCAGAATTACTTAAAGGACTTATTAAAAAAAGAACATAGTGCTGAGTCTCCCTACCTCCCATGAGTTTCAGATTCAGTAGGATGGGGATGGGGCTCTGAAATGTACATTTCTAATAAATTCCCAGGTGATTCTGATGCTACTGTTGGGGAAGTGTGTTTCATTGACTCTGTTTGGTAACTTTGTGGTGACTCCAATCATACACACTCTGTTTTTTACTGGCAACTATTATATTTGAAACCTTTTATTTGAACTTGATGCCAGCACTTATTTATGTAAGAAGTACAGTTTATAGCTGTAATCTCCCTCCCTTGTCTCTGTAGTTCATTTTAGATTGTAATGGGCAAGCCTGATTCAGTTTATCAGCAATGGCTGGTATTTACAACATGGTCATTTTAAAAGGCTATTTGATGCAAATAATTTTATATTTAGATTGGTTTTTATAATTTACAAAATACTTTTCCAACAATCCTGAGTAGTGGGCAGTACTTACATAAAACTGCTTGCTTACTGAAGTGTTGTCTTACATAAAATCCCAGTATATTAGCACCACTGTCAAAGCCCCCACTAAAGTAGCTCTGGCTGATGTAGTCAGCTTTGTTTGGGGCGTGAGGGTAGGTCTGGAGTTGGTGCCAGTACCATAAATGGACAGAACTAGATAGAGGCAGAATCGTTGTGAAAGAAACAGAGCTATAGGTAGGCCTGGGCCAGTTGCTGGAGAAGTAGCAGGTTGGAGCAAAATTCTAGACCATGCATACTATAAGTTGACACTGTTGTTAACAGGGTTGTTTTCCAAATTAAGGTGGAAAAGTATTCTAAAGTGCCTGGCAGTGCTTTACACATAGCAGTTGTTCAGCACGTCTTAGTTGCTTCCTGGATAACCTTTTCTCCAAAAAAGGCAGGAGGAATCCAGATTTTATGTGTGATCTCATGGTTTAATCTTGGAATTTACCAGGATACTCTTTTGGATATATCCTAGATATAATGGGCAAGGGTCAGCTATCAAGAATCAATGTATTTCACCATGATACACTCAACTGAGGCAGCATTTAAAATTTTATGTGTTGAATTTTCAGCTATACATAACCCCTTTTTTTTGGTTTTGTTTTGTTTTGTTTTGTTTTGCTCTATAGTGGCACTGCGTAATAGAGATATGTGAGCCACATGTCTAATTTAAAATTTTCTGATAGCTATGTTAAGAAAAGTAGGCCAGGCATAGTGACTCACACCTGTAATCCCAGTGCTTTGGGAGACCTAGGCAGGCGGATCGCTTGAGCCCAAGAATTTGACACCAGCCTAGGCAACATAGCGAGACCCTGTCTCTACAAAAAATTTAAAAAATTAACCATGTGTGGTGCTCAGGAGACTGAGGTGGGAGGATTGTTTGAGCCCAGGAGGTTGAGGCTGTGGTGAGCTGTGATTGTGCCACTTCGCTTCAGCCTGAGTGACAGAATGAAACTCTGTCATGAAATTTAGAAATTCCCATTCCAGCAGGTGTAGCTAAAAAAAAAAAATAAAATAGATGGAATTAATTTTGATAATCTTATTTAACTCAATATTTCTCAAACACTATGTCAACAAGTTATCAGTGTAAAAAATGTTAGTAAGGCCAGGCACGTGGCTCACACCTGTAATCCCAGCTCTGGAAGGCTGAGGTGGGCAGATCACTTGAGCCTAGGAGTTTGAGGCTGCAGTGAGCTATGATCATACCACTGTACCCCAACCTGGGCAGCACATTAAGACCCCCATCTCTTAAAAAAAAAATGAAATATTTTACCTTTTTTGGAGTAAGTCTTTGAAATCTCATGTGTATTTTATACTTAAGGTACATCTCAATTCAAACTAGTCATATTTTAGCTGTTCAGTAATTATGTATGGCTAGTAGCTACCATATTGGGTTTAGTCTCCTACCCCACATAACTTTGACAAGATTGGACATGTTTGGGGTGGTGTGGCCTTAGACCCCCACGTAGCTGCAATATACAGCAGATATCTTAAAGGGGAAATGCTTATCATCCTCCTTTCATGGAACTTTAAGCTTTTTTTTTTTAGACAGGGTGTCTCTCTGGCCCAGGCTGGAATGCAGTGGTGCCGTCATAGCTTATTGCAGACTCAAACTTTTGAGCTTGAGTGATCCTCCCACCTCAGTCTCCTGAGTAGCTAGGACTACAGGTGCACCATCAGGCCCAGCTAATTTTTAAATATTTTGTAGAGACGAGGTCTCGTGTTGTCCAGGCTGGTCTTGAACTCCTGGCCTCAAGTGACCCTCCCGCCTAGGCCTCCCAAAACTCTGGGAGACTTAATGTACCTTTCCACCACAGCCTATTGCATTGCCCTGGAACTCAGCACATGTCCTGTGGAGAAAAACCAATCATGTTTGCAGTTCCTCTAGTTTCTAGTCGACTGTGCAAGTCCCAAGGAAACCACCAAAAGCTGTTCTTATTTGTCTTTCCCCTGTAAAGTCGCTCTGGCTGGAGTACACTGGATCCTCAGCCTTATCCAAAATCAGCTAATCAGCATCTCACCTCAAAAGGGATTCTCTCTGGAATTTTAGTTAATCTCATTTTCATTGCTTTCCATGGCTATCCCATGTCTTTAGCAACATGATTTTGGAGTTTAACTGTTTTCTAGTTGTAGTGTGAGTGTTTTGTTTGCTGCAGTATACTACATCCCATCTGGAAGTAAATGTCTATACTGTAAATTTTTTGAAGCTAAGAGCTAACATACATTTTTCTATATGTCACATTTATAAGAAGGAAGGCAGATAAGTGAGAAGGGTTAAGTAATGTCAGTCAAGAAATACTTATTTGAAAATGTGTGTTGAAATTAGTTTCTGAAAGAAAGCAAGCAGATGAAAAATGAGGAAGAAAAAGTAGGCAGTCTACCTTTGCATCTTCATTTTACTACTTTTGAGACACAGTAAGTGATTTTTAAGTATCTTGGTGTCTGCTTCTACTACTTGCTAGGTGTGTGAGCTCTCTAGCTCTCAGATCTTACTGTATAAAACGAGTACCACAGTGCCTGACACTCAGTGTTAGTTACTAGCATGAATATCTTTTGTACACCTTTCTTACCTTATGCTGCTCCATTTTTCTGAAGTGTTCTCCTTCCCATCCTTGGTACTCTACACTTAGTTTATCTGTTTATCCTTAATGCCCCAATTTGGATGACTTCTGTTTCATGAAGGATTCACTTCTAGTATTCCTACTTAGAGTGAATACCCTGTTCCTCAAATACACCAGATTCTGCTTGAGAATTTAATCTCTGGGAGATGGGTGTAGGCATCAATATTTTTTTTTCTTTTTTCTTTTTTCTTTTTGTTTTTTTGAGACGGAGTCTTGCTCCGTCGCCAGGCTGGAGTACAGTGGCACCATCTTGGCTCACTGCAACTTCCATCTCCTGGGTTCAAGCGATTCTCCTGCCTCAGCCTCCTGAGTAGCTGGGACTACAGGCGTGCACCACCATGCCTGGCTAATTTTTCTATTATTAGTAGAGAGAGAGTTTCACCATGTTGCCAGGATGGTCTCGATTTCTTGATCGGTGGATCATGAGATCCGCCTCCCAAAGAGCCACCGTGTCTGGCCATGCATCAGTATTTTTCAAAAGCTCTTCAGCTGTTTCTGAGGTATAACAAACATGGAGAACCATTGGCATAATGCACAATTCCATTAAAGTACCAGTTATATTGGTTTGTTTGCATGTCTTCCTCCATAGCTGGGATGTGAATTCCACAAGGTCAGGAACTTTCTTCTTCATGTTTGTATCCTAAGTACCTGACACAACCTGGAATATAAAGAGACTTAGTATGTGAATGAATATATTTTTATATTTAAAATGTTGGAACAACAATTTGGAGAGGACAACAGGAAATAAAGTAAAAATATTTGAAACTACAAATATTTAAACTGCCTGCTCACTCTGGTTTTTAAAGGAAAAAAAGATGTGCTATTTAAAATGCTCTTTATTCGGTTGGACTCGGTAGCTCACGCCTGTAATCCCAGCACTTTTGGAGGCCGAGGCGGGTGGATCACCTGAGGTCAGGAGTTTGAGACCAGCCTGGCCAACATGGCGAAACCCCATCTGTACTAAAAGTACAAAAGTTATCCAAGCGTGGGGCGGGCACCAGCTACTTGGGAGGCTGAGACAGGAGAATTGCTTGAACCCAGGGGGCGGAGGTTGCAGTAAGCCGAGATCGCGTCACTTCACTCTAGCCTGGTCAAAAGAGCGAAACACCATCTCAAAAAATAAATTAAAAAAAATAAAAAATTCTCTTTATTATGCTTATTTGTTGCATACTTGCTATGGGACTACAACTGTGCTAGGATTACAGGGGTTTAGAAAAATACACTAAGTGGCTCCTGCCCCCCAAAATTTGAAATATTATGCATGATAGACTATGAAGTTTTTTGTCTTCAAGACACTTTAAAATCTAATAGGGTTGTGGAAGTAAGTATAAAGTACTGCAAGGCATTAAAAAAGGAATAATGATACAAGAGTTTCTTTTTAATTAATGGAACGCTTCATGGATTTTTGTGTCATCCTTGTTGAGGGGCCGTGCTAATCTCTGCATTCTTCCAATTTTTATATATGTGCTGCCAAAGCAAGCACATACAGGAGATTTAGAGAAAGGATATTTCCTAGTCTCTTAGCTGCTGGGGTAAGGACAGCGTTCAATAAAGAGGTGGAGTTTGCGCTATGCCTGTAAGAATTGCTAGAGTTTGTCAGAAAGAAAGTATAAAAATGGTAGTCTATCCACATCCTCAGATGTGGTGTGGGGGTGGGGGGATGGTAGTCTAGACAAAATGAAAACATTAGCATTATTTTGAAAATAAATTGTAGTTTACCTGGATAGTAGAACTCTTGATTTCCATATACAACTTCATAAACTTGGTCCTCACCCAGGCTTCCTATGATAGTAAATGTTAGCACCATTTATCCAATTATTAAAACCCAAGAGTCCTCCATTTTTTTCTCATACTCTACATGCAATCCATTAACAGGTTCTATTGTACATTCAAAATAAGTTCCAAAACTGATTAACTACTTGCCTCTTCCATCATCTTTCTAAGAGCGTGCATCCAACTTGCCCACTGACCTTCCTCCTGCCCTTTGTATTTGTTTTTTCAAGACAGGGAGGGTCTCACTCTGTCACTTATACTGGAGTGCTGTGGTGTCATCATCACTCACTGAATCTCAGACTCCCTGGCTCAAGCAGTCCTCCCACCTCAGCCTCCCGAGTAACTGAGACTACAGGCACACGCCCCCACCTGGCTCTTCCTGCCCTTTGAACATCAAACTCCTCCTCAGGATCTTTGCACTTGCCATTCCCTCTGGAATGTTTTTCTTCCAGATCTTTGGGTGACTGTGCCTTCTGCTTCACGTTATGCTGTTCTCAGCTCCACTGTCACTTCTTCAGAGAGGTCTTTAACCTGTCTGAAAGAGCTTCCCCCTCCCCTACCATTCTTCATTTCCAGTACCTTTTTTATTTTTTCTAGCCTTTACTACTCTGAAACTGTATTTATTTCTCATTAGCATGTGAACATCATGAAAGTGGGGATTTTGTCTTATTCACTGAGACATTCCAAGTTTTTAGGCAAGTGCCTATATATAGTGAGTGATCAATAAATATTTATTAAATGAATTGTAGACTGTAGATGCTAGACATATAAGACGTTATAGTGAAGGCTCTTGAATGTCCGAATGAGTTGTTGCTGTGTAATTTGCTAATTAGTTATCAGTTGTTGTGAGTCTTTGTTCTGAATAACTTGATCATAATTCTTTTAGGAAAGCTTAATAATAGTACAACTATTATCTCATTATATAGTCACATAAATTCTGTGAGATAATATTTATTGTCACCATTTTATAGATGAGAAAACTGGCCTGTCTTGAGGTTTGTTGTAGTGCATTAGACTTAGGAACCACTTAAGAATTCTGTTGCTATGACATGTTATGTAAAATAGTTTAGTTTTTAAAATTCATATTTTTGTAAAGAAATCTTCAAATGTTTGTTATCTCATCAACCTTTTTCCATTTGAAATTGATCTTAATGAGAAAATTAACTTAGAAAATAAAATCACTTCTCTAAACTGGTATAAACGAGGAGCACCTAGCACATAGTATATACTCAATAAATATTTAAAGGAATGCGTTATTAAAAACTGACAAAGTTCTACTTAGCTTTCTGAGTTAACTTATTTTTGTTCTGTTTTTAAAAGATGCACAGTTTGAAAATGATGAACGAATTACACCCTTGGAATCAGCCCTGATGATTTGGGGTTCAATTGAAAAGGAACATGACAAACTTCACGAAGAAATACAGAATTTAATTAAAATTCAGGTATGAATAAATAACTTATGCTTATAATTATTATATTTCTAGAAAATAAGAACATTTAACACTTAAAAGAAATTAAGAGAAACCTAGTAGAGGTTGAGCAATAGTAAAATTTAATGTATTGTTTCTCTTCAGAAATTTGACCTTTGGTTTATAGCCTTAACATGATCACTGGGGGCTGGAACTTAATGTTCCATACTTAAGTATATGTTGCCCCCATGTTGTGGAAAATTTTAAAACCAGGGATTTGTGCTCTTCCAATTGATATTTAAAGATTATGGAAAAAGTAGATAATATTTTTAATTAATGGTAAATTTTAGATTTTTCTAATCAAGAGTATGTAAAATTTTAACCATGTAGGGAGAATTTTAGTAGACAGTGAGTAGTTTTAAAAAGTCATTCAAAGATACAGTAGCTAGCAGTCAGAGCAAATACTAGGTACTTTCTTAGTTAAATAAACTTTTTCTCTTTTGAGAATTTTAAAAATTTATTTTCAGGTTGAATAGAAAAGAAAAGCTAAGTCATTCCCCACCTTCCCAAGAATTAGTGTGGTGATAGTCAAGTAGAATTAGGACCTGAAGAAAAGAAAATGGGCAGAAAAACGACTGTTTCCTTTATGAATTCAACCCAGAGCAAAGAGATTTGTCATGTTATTGCAATCTTTTAGACCGCTAGAGAAAGCAAGTCTTTCTTAATACACTACTGTAAAGTCAAATGGGCGACAAAGTTTATAGCAGACATTTAATATATACCTTACTATTTGCCAGGCACTGTTCTAAACTCTTTCACATAAAACTCTTACGTCCTCATAACAATCTGATGAAATAAGTACTATTGTTTCCACCATTTTACATATAAGGTAACTGGGGCAACAAGAGGCTAAGTAGCTTACCAAGTTTACATAGCTACCCAGATGGTAATAGTGGTCCTGTCTTACCCTGTTACCAAAAATGCCAATGTGTGAAAAAAATGATCTTTCAAAAACATCTAGCTTCTTAGGTTTGTATTAGATATTTTCCAGGGATTCTGACTAGCAAATTTTATGTATCCTAATCATCACAAACATCATCTACCTCCTCTTATTTCCCTTTTACTCAAAATTAATATTTAGGTAGGTCCTAAATGTCCATGGTATGGCTTCTAATTTATTTACTAATACATGCTTTTGATTTGGCCTAAATTAGAGATAGAATGCTGGGCATTTATGAGTAAATGTGCATGGGACCAGTGCAAATTTTTCATGTCATTTCAAGCGACACTTATTTTGTCTTTGAAAAAGTATTTTATATCTTTTATCAAACTAAAATTATTAAACTACATAAAAATGTTTTCAACAGAGGATTTCAGACTTACTTCAGTTATCTTAATAATTAAATAACTATTAGATATTTTTAAACGCAGTCTAAGGTTGGTATTTTTCATCTTTTAGGCTATAGCTGTTTGTATGGAAAATGGCAACTTTAAAGAAGCAGAAGAAGTCTTTGAAAGGATATTTGGTGATCCAAATTCTTATATGGTAATTATTTAAATTAAAACCACAGAATTTTAGAACTGTTTATGTAGAATGAGGAAAACTGAAAGAAAATTGGAGGAGAAAATAAATGCTTTATCTTTTAAACAGTATAGAATAATACTGTGCAATAGAAAAACTATGCAAGTCACATGTGATTTAAAATTTTCTAATAAGCTGGATGCAGTGGCTTACACCTATAATTCCAGCACTTTGGGAGACTGAGGTGGGATGATCCCTTGAGCTCAGATATTTGAGACAGCCTGGGCAACATGGGGAGATCCTCATCTCTCCAAAAAAAAGAAATAATAAATAATGAAAAATAAATAAAATTTTCCAGTAGTCATATTAAAAAAGTAAAAAGAGGCTAGGTGCAATAGCTCATGTCTATAATACCAGTACTTTAGGAGGCTGAGGCAGTAGGACCATTTGAGGTCAGTAGTTCAAGATCAGCCTGGGTAAAACAGCGAGACCCTGTTCTCTACGAAAAAATTAAAAATCAGCGAGGTGTGGTGGAGCAATACTATAGTCCTGAGGTGGGAGGATTGCTTCAGCGCAGGAAGTCAAGGCTGCGGTGAGCTATAATGCTGCCGCTGTGCTCCAGCCTAAGCAACAGATAGAGACCCTGTCTCTAAAAGTAAATAAATAATAAAATAGTATAGTATTTGCATATAACATATGTACATCCTCCTGTATACTTTAAATCATCTCTAGATTATAATAACTAATACAATGTAAATAGTTGTACTGTTTAGGAACAAAAAGATACAAAAAAGTCTGTATGTGTTCAGTACAGGTGCAATTCTTTTCCCCCATACATTTTGTGGAAGAAATACCTGCATTTCTTTTGGGTTTATATGAAGAGTAGAACTGATGAGTCATAAGGTGTGTACATACTCAGTTTTAGTAGATATTGCCAAGCTGTTTTCCAAAGTAGTTATGTCAATTCCTCCAGTAGTGTAAAAGAATTCTAGTGGCTCCACAGATCTTACATCTGGGTTTTCATTTTAGCCATTCAGGCAAATATGTAGTGCTGTCCCACTGGATTTTAATTTGTTTCCCTGATGAATAATCAGATTGAGCACCTTTTGATAACGTTAGTAGAAAGAGTTGGAGAGTGACTACCTTAATCCAATAAGGAACCTGGGCCTAGTTGAGGGTAGGTTGGGCAGTTTTGGCAAGGCTTTGTCTATCTCTAATATAACCCTGTCCCTGGGGTATAGCCCTCCAGAAATTTGTCTTTTGGGTTTCCTACCCTTATATTTTCTCCATAGCACTATGAGACTACTGAAAATTCTACTCTCCTCATACCTCCCAGAAGAGGAAAACTGACGGCCAGGAAATATTAAGAGGTTAAGATAAGTACTTAACCTCACTAGTATTAATGTTGCCTCATTAGAGCAATATTAAGTACTATATTGGAACACTACTTCCCATCCCTTAGACTGGCATCAATTAAAATGTCTTAGAATACCAATAGTTGTCTCAACAAATTGAGAAATGATTGTACTACCTGCCATAACTTCCTTTCAAGACTGTATATTGGTACTTCTTTGGGAGATCATTTTAGCAAAATCTTTTAAGCATGCATTCCAGCAATTTCACTTCTAGACAATATCCTAGAATAGCTGGTTTCACTTTTAACTGCATATTTTAAAAGCCATAAAGCTTTAAAGACAACAAAAAACCAAGGCCTTCCTGAGATAATTGCTCTGAGATTGAGCCTAAGACTTTTTTTAAAGTTCTACAGCTTTTATTGTGCAGCCAGCATTGAAAGAGCTACTGTCCAAGGAAAACACATACAGTGCACAGAAGATAATGTAGAAACATGTTGAAGAGCAATACAGTAATTGCAAGTAGCCTAAATCCCTCAGTAGGTTTGAAGAATGGATGAATAAGTGATGTTTTTGATCAGTGTAGTACTTTATAATGGCAAAAATAACTACTTCTAGGAATATCAGATCAGCATGGATAAATGTTGTAAACACAGAGTTGACTAAAATGTAGCAAGTTTCAAAAGAATACAGATCGTACAACACCATTTGTAGAGTTAAAACCATGCTAAGTAATGCTACGTGTTATTTGTGGATACATACATAGTGCAAGTAAAGGAATTCATGGGAATGGTGAATTCTAAATTCAGGGTAATGGTTACAGTGAGGAGAGAAAAGGGGATACAATCAGATTATGGTAGTAAACAGGGATTTTAACCATATCGATTATGTTTTATTTCTTAAACTGGGTAGTGGGTACTCTGGTTTATAATACATATCTTTTTGCATCTGTCTAAAATATAAAATATTTTTTTAAATGAGGAGAGACCAGAAGAAGTAAGAAAAAAGTACATTGGCATGTCATTTAAAACTTAATTTTAAAAGTATCTGTGTCTCTGAGTTTATAAAGTAAGTGATTTCTTTCCAATTAAATAATATATGACAAAAATCCTTGTATCTGTAACTTTGTGTGATTTATGTTAATTCATTTCTTCTCTTTTCTTTAGCCTTTCAAAAGCAAATTGCTTATGATAATCTCTCAGAAAGATACATTTCATTCCTTTTTTCAACACTTCAGCTACAACCACATGATGGAGAAAATTAAGAGTTATGTGAATTATGTGCTAAGTGAAAAATCGTCAACCTTTCTAATGAAGGTATACATAGTATTCAAGAGTGACTCTAATAATAGACTTAAAGGAAATGTTATAATAAAGGAGAATACTTGAAATAGAAATCCTTTAAAACTAATGGGAATTTTTTGTTGTGGTTTTGTAGAAAGGTGTGGTAAAATGTTACATTTTGTGGACCTCATTAAAAGATTTATGAGTGATCTTTGTAGTACTTTTGTAACTTTTCAAAATTAGGAAAATTTTCAAAAGAAAAAGTTGAAGGGAAAACTTAGAATGAATTAAAAATAAGAAATAGGCAAAAGCAAATATTTATTGTAATTTAAGTAAATTTTAAAGACGTTTTTAAACACATTTTTGGGGAAAAGTAGAATTGCATTAAAGAAGGGCCTTTTAAAATTTTTCTAGGCCAGGTGCAGTGGCTCATGCCTATAATCCTAGCACTTTGGGAGGCCAAGTTTCAGGAGTTCGAGACTAGCCTAGGTGACATGGTGAAACCCCTTGTCTACAAAAAAATTAGCTGGGCTGGCACGGTGGCTTGTGCCTGTAATCCCAGCACTTTGGGAGGCTGAGGCGGGTGAATCATGTGGTCAGGTGATCGAGACCATCCTGGCTAACACGGTGAAACCCCCTCTCTACTAAAAAAATACAAAAAAAATTAGCCGGGCGTAGTGGCGGGCGCCTGTAGTCCCAGCTACTCCAGAGGCTGAGGCAGGAGAATGGCCTGAACCTGGGAGGCAGAGCTTGCAGTGAGCCAAGATGGTGCCTCTGCACTCCAGCCTGGGCGACAGAGCAAGAGTCTGTCTCAAAAAAAATAATAATAATAATAGCTGGGCATGGTGGCATACACCTGTAGTCCCAGCTACTTTGGGGAGGTTGAGGCTGTAGTGACCTGAGATTGAGCCACCGCACTCCAGCCAGGGTGACAAAACGAGACCCTGTCGTTAAAAAAAAGACATTTCTGGTCAGGCGCAGTGGCTCATGCCTGTAGTCCCAGCACTTTGGGAGGCTGAAATGGGTAGATTGCTTGAGCCCAGGAGTTTGAGACCAGCCTGGGCAACATGGCAAAACCCCGTCTCTACAAAAAAAATAAAAAATTTAGCCAGGCATAGTGGTGCACGCCTGTAGTCCCAGCTACCTGGGAGGCTGAGGTGGGAGATCACCTCAGCCCAGGAGGTTGAGGCTGCAGTGAGCTGTGATTGTGCCACTGCACTCCAGCCTGGGTGACAGAGTGAGACCCTGTCTCAAAACAAACAACAATAAAATTTTTCTAGTAACATTTTATTCTCTGTCTTTACCTCAGAAGTTTTAAGTTGACAGTGTTATAGTGGAGCATCTTGATTGAGATAATTTTTATTTCAAAATATATAGAATTTATATTTTTTTCATGCAGCCTTTTCTCTTAAAAATTGCCTAGAGAGCATTTTGTCTATCAAATATATTTACAAGGAAAGACCACCTTCGTAATGCTGATAAACCAAGCAGGTAGCTAATGTAGCTGCTGGCAGTGTCATAATTATTGGTGAAAATAACAACACAGTGCCCTTTATTGGCCTGTGAACAGATATATTGGCTATGACTATCAAAGAATTACAAGGCTTAATTTAATGCTATTTGTTTAAAATGGCTTAATGCATTTCTTCCTATCCTCCTACCTCCACACACACCATTTTTTAAGGCAGCAGCAAAAGTAGTAGAAAGTAAAAGAACAAGAACAATAACTTCTCAAGATAAACCTAATGGTAATGATGTTGAAATGGAAACTGAAGCTAATTTGGATACAAGAAAAAGGTTTGTAATTTAATCAATTTGTGTATTCTTTGTTTTATGAATGTTCTGTCTTTATGTAAAATTGATGCGAGTCTTTTTGTTAAAAATAATTATTGAGTAGCATGTTATCTTGCTGATGATTAACATTTAGGTATTTGGAGTACTGTAGAGTTATTTCATGACCTGTGCAAACTACATATGCCAAGCAAAAGTAGAGAATAAGAAAATATTACAGTTTAAATAATGTGGATAGTTTACCATTCTTACTGAGGGTATGCTTAGGAACAAAGGTGAGGTTGGACTCCTGTGCCCCTTAGTTGTTTTTAGATTCTACATGTTCTCATTATGTGATTCATGTTTCACTGTACTAACAGTCTAGTATATTAAGATATTATTCGTATATCTTCTCTAAGGGTAAGCTCACTACTTCATCTGGTACTTGACTGAAGAAATAGTGATTTGCTTTAATACTGGAGGAAAACAAGCTGTGTCAGTCCTGTATATTGAGAGATATGTTAAGTCTCCAAAATTATTTTTTCTTTAGGGATTTTCAGGGGTGATTTTGTCTTTTGTTTTAGAAGCTTAAGTATCTTCCCCTATTGAGGAAGCTATAACTCTGATATTATAAAGATCTTCTTTCCTATTGAACCCATGGTCTGTTTTCTCTGTTCTTCTACCTTAAACCAAGGCCAAATAATCAAATTTCTGTGGTCTCTGGATGGGTATATTTGGAAATGGATGTAATATTACTTTCTTCTTGGGAACAAGACCTAAGTGTTGCAGGGACCCCATCTTAACTACTTATTTAGAGGTAGAGATTGGGGTTCAAGTTGGATGTACACTGGACTTGTCACATCTTAGGACTGAGGCTCTGTCATCTTATAGTGGTCCCTCCTATTGTTCCTGCCTGTCAGAGCATGACCTGTTCCTTTCATCTCTCCAAAGGCTGTACTAAAGTCTTATTTCACATTGATGTACTTTTTTCTAAAACCCAGTTTAAGAAGTAGAGATTCCATATTTATTGGCCCAATTACTTCATTTTGTTTCAAAAATCAAAGTTTAATGATACTAATACCCAATACATTCTTGTGGGCAAGCCATCCTGCTCATAATTATACTACTAATACCATGGTTCTTACAGATAATGACAAGCACACTTCCTATGGACTCTCCTTATATAGTACTACCCACTTATTTCAGATGCTCTCCTAGACACAAACACAGTGCAATCCATGTGTACAAACAGAACTCTTCATGTTCTCATTTGCCTCTCTACACCCTGCCTCTCTTCTTTAACCTCACACATCCAGCTGTCTTTCCAAGTATTAAGAACCCCACCTCAGAAATGCTTCTCCAATCTATTTTTATCTATATAGCTTTGTACCATTCAAATCCATCCTTGACATAACTTCCAGAGTTAGCTTCCAAAAAAATAAATCTCTTTAGATCACTCCCAGCTTAAAAACTTTTTGGCTCCTATTTCCTACTAGATGAGTCAGAATTTATTGCCATGGCTTATAAAGCCTTACATAGACCCATTCTATTTTTTTTTTAATATACAGTCTTATCCCTAAGCATGAACCCCTCCCTGTCCACGTACATCGTACTTTCTAGCAGCACAGAACTTCTCCCTGATCTTAAAATGTTAGAAGTTTTCATACCTCTGCCCTTGCTTTGTTTCTTCTATTTGAATTCCTATCATTTTATTTTCTCCAAGGCAAGCTCTTACTTGCTATTCAATCTATCTCAGAGATCACCTGGATGAAGTCTTTCCCAGCTCTGTAATCAGAGTTGTTACTTCTGTTTTTTCATAGCATACATCTCTATAAAAGGACTTATCTTCATTAGTAACTTATCTGTTTACCTGATTCTTTCACTAGTTTGAGAATTATTTGAAGGTTCTTACTTAGCCTTGAAGCATCTTAATTAGCTTGGTATCCTTGTTGCCTAATTCATTACCAGGCATACATTAGAACTTGCTGTACACTAGTTACAGGGAACAAAACTAAAACTAGAAACAGCGTAAAGATCAAGAATTGAGCAAATACCAAAACCATCCTGGAAGCAGAACCAGGGCAAATAAAGCATTAAATCACCAGTGTCAGGACAGTTACCAATAAGGGTTCAAGTAAAGCAAGTATAGAATCAGAAGTGTGATTGTGAGGTCAGACAAATCCTAGAAAAATTGAAACCCCCATGTTATGAAGACTAGATGAAATAAATATTTTGCTCTGATAAAGCTTATACAGTTGTTCGTTGGTGTTTGAAGGGGATTCGTCCTAGGACATCCACTCTCCGTGAATACCAAAATCCACAGATGCTCAAATGTCTTACAAAAATGGTGTAATAGCCGGGAACAGTGGCTCACACTTGTAATCCCAGCATTTTGAAAGGCTGAGGCAGGAAGATCACTTGAGCCCAAGAGTTTGAGACCAGCTTAGGCAACATGGCAGAACCTTGTCTTTACAAAAATTAACCAGTCTTGGTGGTGCATGCCTGTAGTGTCAACTATTGAGAGGCTTAAGTGAGAGGATCGCTTGAGCCTGGGAGGTCTGCAGTAAGCTATGTTTGTGCCACTGCACTCCAGCCTGGCTGACCCTCTGCAAGACCCTGTCTCAAAAAAAGAAAAAAAAAAGGTGTAATATTTGCATGTTACCTACATACATCCTCCCATATACTTTAAGTCATCTCTAGATTACTTAAAATATCTAACACAGTGCTGAAATAGTTGAGATGGACAGCTTCATGGAGATACTAACCCTGAGCAGGGGCTTTTGTAGGATGGTTAAGATTTTTACAGATGGATAGAAGAGGAAATACCATTTTAGGAGAGAGGAATAGTACCAGTGAAAGCGTGGAGGTGTAAATAGTCATGTTGTGTGTGTGGAAACCATTTTAACTATAGCAAATGGGAACTTAATCAATTCCCAAAAGTTCACTTGGAGACTGGTGGGGAGAACCATAAATTAAAATTGAGCCCATCAAATTGTATACTTTAAACATGTGCCATGCTTTTTATGTATCAGTTATACCTTAATAAAGCAGTTTTTAAAACTTGAATTCATGGAAATAAAGTGCCATGGAAGAGTTTTTGAAAGAGTGTTATTATAAATGCTTGACTATAGCATTAATTATGCTTATGTCTGGAGAAGCTTGATTTGATACCTCTTATAAGTATAAGCATGTCTGGACAAAAATTAGCCATGTTGTAATGGACTGTGTATGTCCCAATGTTACCGAGGTTTCTTTCCAAAGTTATTTTTTATAAATTGAAATATGTCTTGACTATGTGGAAAGTACTACCCTTATGAAAAGTTTCTTTTGTTTACATTCTTACAAGTTTTTTCTTCTTTTAAAGTGTTAGTGACAAACAGTCTGCGGTAACTGAATCCTCAGAGGGTACAGTATCCTTATTGAGGTGAAGTAAATTGACATTTTTCTTCTTTGTCTTTCAAATCTTTGATTGAAGCAATTCATGCAGACCTAATATAACTACCACATAAATGGTACAATTGAAAGAATATCTCAGGGTCCTACTTAGCCCAACAGATATTCAACGACTCTGAGACATCTTGCAATTCCAAACTGTAGAGACTTGCTTCTGAGACTGGGTTGTTTCACATTGTTTCTACAAAGCCCTTATTGGAATACACATATAGGGAGTTCTTGAGCTTAAAACAGATGTTTAGTAAACACTTATCTGTCATAGAAACAAAGATACGATACTGGGACAGGAAGGGGATGGGGATTACATTTCTAATGAATGCCCCAATGCCAATATTATCAAAGTTACTTGAAAAACTTTATTCGATCTAATAGAATCACTGTGACAGACAATGTAACCTGTCCAGAGGGCAGAAAGTCTGCATGAATGATTTATAAGATAGAGCAGTTGGGATCACAAGTGGAACCGTGGGAGGAGGTGGCTGACTTCATGTGGAAGAGGTGATTGGACATGAAGAATTGAGAGGCCAAGATGGTATATGAATTGTCCATGAGAATACTGAAATAATCCATAATAGCAGCACTTAGGTGTAGAGAAAGATCTGTGAATGATGAAGAAGTGCTTGGAAGGATGGTGAATGGCTGTGAAGAATGATCGAAGGTGATATATCTCAGTGGCATGAATCCTCAAGGCTGAAGTTTCTATGGAAGCAGGATCTTGAAAGTGGCATTCATTAGGAAATGAAAACTGCTGTCTCTGGCATCCTGTAGTTTATGGAGGGTGGAAGATGAAGCCAATCTCTACTTGAGAAGGCTACCAAGGAGAGAAACATTGTCCCCAGGGGAAAGCTAGATTTTAGACAAGGCAAAGAGCAGGGAGGGATGGTTGAAGAGATTGAGAATGACATTCCAGAAAGGACAATAGAAAGTCTTGGGAAGGAGGGAGAGAGGGGAAGAGAGAAAGGATAGCTGGTCACATAGAGTATCTATAGGGATAAAAGTATAGCTAAAAGAACCTACATTTTAGGTGGAGGTAATACAGCTGCCTAAGCTTAAGTGAACTGCTTTTTGAATCTTAGTTTGCTCCTTCATAAAATTGGATTAATATAATACCAATTTGGCAGGGTTTTTTAAAAAAATGATGCCACATCCTGTGTTTCCAAACAGCCTTACCTTTCAAAACTCTTTTTGGAAGCAGTAATGATAATCAAGTGATACCTGCCATTATGTAAAGCAATTTTGAAATCCGTCTTTGGGGAAATAAAAGCCTTAAGAGAGAATGAAAGCTAATACTTTGTAGTTTAAGGATTTTTTTTCCTTGATGTATCTAATTGGAAGGCCAAAAGAGTCTTGCCTTTTTTTCTTTTTTTTTTCTTTTTCTTTTTTTTTTGCCTGCTTCTTCTGAGACATCAAAAAACATCTTGATTTCTGCTGAGTAGATCAGATAGAGGAAGATGAGAGAGGCAACAGAAATCTTAAGAGGCCACAGGTTAAGATGGGGCACTAAGCAGGGAGAGCACCAAAGGAAGTAGGCCAAAGTATTAATAGAAGATCCTAGAACAGATTAAGGCAAATCATTTACCTTTTTTCCATTGCTTTACTAATCTTTTTGGAACCAATTACAAACTTCGTATTTTATTTTAGGTCTCACAAGAATCTTTTCTTATCTAAGTTGCAACATGGAACCCAGCAACAAGACTTTAATAATAAGAAAGAAAGAAGAATAGGAACTCTTCAAAGTGAGTACTGTTGTAACAGTTTTAGAGGGGGAGAATTCATGTGTCCTCAGACAACCCAGCTGTTGACTTTACTACTATAACAAAAAAACACACACTTCAGAAAACTGAAGCACAAAGTCTTGACTTCATAGAGTTAATTGAAGTAGTGTTTAATTGAGAAAGTTAGCTACTTTGATTGTCTAGCTTAGAGTTCTTTTGGTACACTGCTTTTCTACCTTGACTGTGTTCAGCAACTTCAAATATAGTATATGCCACATCATGACATTTCAGTCAAAGACAGACTGCATTGCATATAGGATGGTGATCCTGTAATAATGTAATGGAGCATACATAGAAACTTGATAATGTGGCACTTGATATTGGCATTGCATATCAAGTAGGGGAAATGATTGATAATTAGCAATGGTACTGGGAACTGTGGGTTTTCTATATGAATATATATATATATGTATATGTATGTTTGTGTAAGTGTACTCTTAATGTTCACATAAGGACAAAATAACCCAACGACCCATTTCTCAGAACATATCCCCCTTGTAAAGCAATGCATGACTGTAGTTACTTTTCAGAAACATTAAGTACAGTTGATTCTTGTTATTCACGTTATGTTTTATAAAGTCTGAGAGTGTTGAATTAGCAAATTACAAGTTTCTTTTTGGTATGTATTCATTTAACAAATGTTTATTGACCCCACATTAATATTTTAGGTACTGAACTGATACTGAGATTTTTAATATGGATCTAAATATAAATACTTATTGATAAAAATAATAGACATAATGAAATTAGGTTTATTTCTCCATGCTCATAAGGTACCATCTTGATGCCAGGCAAATGATAGGCCTGCAGTAAATATTATAGAATAAATTTGTTTATACCTGATGGCTGATGACATGGCAACCATTAGCAAATATTTGTAAATAGAGCTCTAAAATATTTACATTCATAGATATCATTCCCATTTTAAAGATGAGAAAATGGAAACTCAGTAAAGTTATGTGCTTAATGTTGGTGGAGTTCCAAGATTAATTTTCTACACTTATTGCTGCAAGACAGCTGGGAATCATTTTAAATGAGAATAATGTGAGCATTTTCCTAGACACTTAATTTCATAGTGCGAAATTCAAAGAAAAGGAAATGTAGGCCAGCCGCAGTGGCTCACACCTATAATCCTAGCACTTTGGGACGGTGAGGCAGATGGATTGCCTGAAGAGCTTAGGAGTTTGAGACCAGCCTAGGCAACATGGTGAAACCCTGTTTCTACTAAAAATAGAAAAAAATTGCCAGGTGTGGTGCCTGCCTGTAATCCCAGCTACTCGGGAGGCTGAGGCACGAGAATCCAGTTTGAACCCAGGAGGTGGAGGTTGCACTGCAGCCTGTGTGACAGAGCGAGACTGTCTCAAAAGAGATAAAACATGGTTTATCAGCAAATTTGAAGACTATAAACTCATTGCAGACTGGCTTGACAGTGACTGTGGCTATTGAGTCTATAAGGTCTTTGAGTTTTAGCACATTTTATTAGGTGTCAGTAATGTTTTCTTAAAAAAAATCCGGTGTACTTCAGTGGTACCCAGGTACCCCCTCTTTATAGTTTGAGGATAGTAATTTTGTTTGTGCTAAACCTTTTTTTCTCTTCTTTATCTGTTTTTGGAGACAGTCTTACTTTATTGCCCAGGCTGGAATGCAGTGCAGTGGTGAGATCTTGGCTCACTGTAGCGTCTACCTTCCTGGACTCAGTTGATCCTCCCACCTCAGCTTCCCAAGTAGCTGGGACCACAGACACATGCCAACCCTGCTATTTTTTGTTTTTTTGTTTGTTTGGTTGTTTGTTTTGAGATGGGGTCTTGTCCTGTCACCCTGGCTGGAATGCGGTGGCTTGATCTCGGCTCACTGCAACCTCGGTCTCCAGGTTTCAAGCAATTCTCCTGCCTCAGCCTCCTGAGTAACTAGGATTACAGGAGTGTGCCACCACACCCAGCAGATTTTTGTATTTTTAGTAGAGACAGGGTTTTGCCATGTTGGCCAGGCTGGTCTGGAACTCCTAACCTCAGGCGATCCGCCCACCTTGGACTCCCAAAGTGCTGGGATTATAGGCGTGAGCCACCACACCCAGCCTTTTTGTAATTTTTGTAGAGATGGGGTTTTGCCATGTTGCTCTGGCTGGTCTGTAACTCCCGAACTCAAGCAATCTGCTCACTGTAATTGTGCCGAGATTACAGGCGTGAGCCACTGCTCCTAGCCCTAACCTTTTTTTCAAAAACTAAGTTTTGTGTTGTACAGTTGACATGTGCTTGGGGGAAAAAAAATCAAGTTAATTCAGAAAAGTTGAAAGAAAAAGCCAAATCATCCAGATTTCATCAGTGCAGAAAAACTCACCAGCATTGAGTGAAATTATTAATATTTGAGTTGAAAACTTTTTATAGGTAAATGCATTCAATCCTCAAAATAACCTTATGAGATTAGTGCTTTTTTTTTTTAATCATCTCCATTATACAGATGAGGAAGCTGAGATTTAAAAAGGTAAATAAAATGCCTTTGATTACAGTGTATGAATAGAACAGGAGCCACAATTTGAAATCAGACAGTCTGATTCCAGAGCCCAGCCTCTAATTGCTTAGATGGACTGCCTCAATAGAAGAATGGATAGATTGAGAGCAAATAAAATTTTAGAAAATTGTGATCAAGTTACATATGTTACTTTAAAATATATTTACATTTAATTTTTAAGATGTAAAACAAGGATTCAGTACTTCAGATGAAGGTGGTTTCACAAGAAATCTATCAGTAACCTTTATGATCTGTATAAAATAAAGAATATGAAATGCTTTAATAGATCAACTTTAGTCTTGTTGATTGACCGTAGCAAAAATTTCTTCCACCAATCCCCAATTTTTCTTGGTTATATTCTATATAATCAATATTTGTAGCATTGTTTTCCCATGTTGGATTTTCAGTTCAAAATATTTTTTCATTTTCTTAGAGACTTTTTTATTGACCTCTGAGGGAAGTTGTTTAATTTCCAAATATCTTTCTGTTACTGATTTTTAGTTTAATTCTATTTCAGTCTGTGAATATGCTTCATAGTTTTTTTAAGATTTGTTTTATGGCCCACAGTATGGTTTATTTTGGTCCATTTGGATGTGCCCAGAGAAGAACATGAATTCTGGCATTGTTGTATGAAGTGTTTTAAAATGTCAATTAGGTCAGGTTTTTAATAATGCTGTTCAGGTATTCTATATATGTACTCATTTCCTCCCTACTTGTTCTGTCAATTAGAAAAGTGATAAAATTTCCCAGCTATAATTATGAATTTGTCTTTACATTTATGTGATTATTTCCTTTTTTCTATTTTAGTCCTCTAACACCTGTTACATTTCTCCTAATGCTAAAATCTCTCCATCAGAGCTAGTGTGGTTTCCATTTTCCTGACTGGAACCCACCCAATATATATGTCAAAATCCCATGTATGTTTAGGTCTCTTGGTCTACTCCTGCAACAATACCATATTGTTTCAGTTACTGTAGTTTTATAATAGATCAGTTTGTAGTAGGGTAATCTTATTGTTTTTCAAGAGTATCTTGACTATTCTGGTGTTTTGGTCTTCCATATTGTCAGGGAAAAAACCTAGCCATCGGGCTTTATAAGCAGTAAACCTGCTGCTACTTTATAGGTACAAAAGGGAGACAACAAGACTTAGCAACTTAACGAGCTAGAGTAAGACAGATTATTATAGCAAACAACATGGCATTGATGTAGTTGTTCAGATTTCCCTACCCCAAGTCCCGTGGACTATCAGCAGGCCTAAATGGATGCTGTGAAGGCAGTAAGTTATATTTCAGCTGAAGAAAACTCAGAGCCAAGGGCCCAGTGCTTTTTGAGTAAGCAACAAAACTTGTAACAAATAGCAACCAAGCCAGTACCCTCTCCCAGGAGAGAGCGGTTGGCCTGGTCATCATGTTATGGTTTCCTTGACCTGCTTAATTGCCTATCTGACTGGCTATAGAAAATGCACTATTTCAGGAGATGAATAAGGCTTTTGTACATGCAACAAGAATTGCAGGGGTGCTCAGAGCCAATGGTGGACTACCTCTCTTAACACATAATTTTAGAATATTCTTGTTAAATTACACAAAGAACCCTGTTGAGATTTTTATGTGAAATTGCATTGTTAACAATAGATGATTTTGCAGAGAACTGACACTATTACATTAAGTTTTCCTATGCATGAACAAAATATATTTCTCTTGACAGTTTTTATATATACAATCATCCCTTGGTTTTCACAGGGGGTTGGTTCCAGGACTCATCCTCCTGCCCGCCCAACAGGGATACCAGAATTCTCAAATGCTCAAGTCCCTTACATAAAATGGCATAGTCTTTGCATATAGACCTGTGCACCCGCCTACCACATGCTTTAACTCATCCCCAAATTACTTATAGTAACTAAAACAATGTAAATGATAACTAAATTGTAGTAAATAATTATTAGACTGTATTATTTATTTGTATCATTTTTTATTGTATTGTTTTATATATATATAAAATATATATTATATATAATATATATAAATATATATATAAAATATATATTTATATATATATTTCCCCCGATGTGTGTGTGTGTGTATATATATATATTTCCCCCCCTGAATGTTTTATTCCAAGGTTGGTTGAATCCACAGATGTGGAACCTGCAAATATAGAGGGCCAATAGTAGGTAGGTGGGTAGGTAGGTAGGTAGGTAAGTAGATAGATAGATAGATAGATAGATAGATAGATAGATAAAACTTCTCATAACATGTTTTATATACATAGTAAAGCTTTATAATTTACTACATACAGATGTTGTATCCCTTTTGCTAAAGTTATCTAAGAGGCCGTGACATGATGGCTCACACCTGTAATTCTAGCACTTTGGGAGGCTGAGGCAGGAGGCTCACTTGAGCCCAGGAATTAAGAGACCAACCTGGGCAATATAGTGAAGCCATGTCTTTACAAACAAATTTTTAAAAATTAGTCGGGCATGGCAGCAGGTGCCTCTAGTCCCAGCTACTCAGGAGGCTGAGGTGAGGGAGGATAAGGAAGAAGTATCACTTGAGCCCATGAGTTTGAGCTGTGATCATACCACTGCACTTCAGCCTAGGCGAAAGAGAGAGACCCTATCTCTTGGAAAAAAAAAAAAAAGTGATCTCTAAGAATGTTAGATTTTTTGTGGCTATTGTAAATAGTATCTTTCTATTGTTTTAATTAAATTATTTTAACTCTTTGCTGCTAATGACTAGAAATCCTATTGCTAATGAATGAAATCCTTTTTGTGTATTGATCTTACTGATCTTTTAATTCTATTTGTAGATTCTCTTAGATTTTCTGCCCAAACAATTCATTTTTCAATAATTACAGTTCTGTTTCTTTTATTTCTTGTCTTATCAAACTATGAGTAAGAAAGAAGGAGTTAGGAAAGGATTATTCTTCTTAGTACTCCTAAAACATTATCATAAGAAAATTTCAATGATCCTATGCAATAAATATTTTTCCTTTTTTTTAAACAGATGATGAAAAGACAGGTTCAGGGATGTGAAATGATTTACTTAAAGACATATAAATAAGAATCAAGTCTCAAAACACTCCACATCTGATTTCAAAGACTGTTCTTTGTACTATACCATACTGCTTCCAGATTTGAAGGAAAAAAATCAAACATGTAGAGTACTTTTTCTTAGAATAGCTTAAAAGAATTTCATGATAATCATTAAAAATATAATTGCTCTTTTTTCTTTAATGTGAAACAATATTTATGACATTATTTTTCTACTTTTAGGTACAAAAAAGAAAAAAGAAAGCAGAAGAGCCACTGAAAGCAGAATACCTGTTTCAAAGAGTCAACCGGTAACTCCTGAAAAACATCGAGCTAGAAAAAAACAGGTATTTGGTTTTTTTTATATTTGAATAACACTTATGGACATTAAAGTTATAACTTGAATAATTGTGATTATTTCTGTTCAACCTCCCAAAAATCTTGAGTATAAAATATTTACGCTTTGCCATCTTTTATTTTGCCATCTTAGATTAGGTGACTAATCAGCCTATTCAAAATGAAGTACTTCACCCACATTGAAAAGTCTTAAGTTGGGTGTTAGTACTGACATCTATTTGGAATTATTGTGATACTATCATAAAATCTGTTTATTAGATGTAAGATGGGACTTAACTCCATATTATAAGCTTTGATATTTAAATTTCCTAACAGGGATCCAATTTAAATAAGATTTTTCTTTACTTAAAAACAAAGAAAAGATACCATTTGATCACAACATTTTATTAAGGTGGATCAATTTAGGGCTTGATTCATTTGTTTCCACTTTCAGTGACTATAGTTTTGTGCCATCTGTCCAGTGTCCGAAACTATTATTTTATATATTTTTTGATTGTCTAGTTGTTCACAGCAGATGGATAAATCTGGTCATTGTTTTTGTGGTTTTGTGTGTGTGTGTGTGTGTGTGTGTGTGTGTGTGTTTTCCCCTTTTTTTGTAGAAATGGTGTCTCACAATGTTGCCCAGGCTGGTCTTGAATTCCTGGGCTCAAGTGATCCTCCCACCTTGGGGTCCAGAAGTGCTGGGAATATAGCATGAGCTACTGCACCCATTCAGGCCCTTGTTTTCTTTTGTGGCTGGAACCATTTTCTTACTCGAAGGTGTCTTTTTTTTTTTGACAAGCTAATTGCAAATAGCTCGTACTGAGGTGTTGCGGATAGTGTCAAGTTGCAGGCTACTAGGAATATGTTCTGTGACTCAAGGTTATGTTACCTTTCATTTCTCCCCCAGTGAACATAGCAAGCAACTTCTACTTTTGATTTGCTTCCTACACATATTACTTGCCTTTGTGATTCCCTTTTTTAGCCTTGCCATCTCTGGCCTTTAGTAGGTTGAGGGGAGCTTCTGCTGTTGCTGACCAGAGATTTAGGGGGTGTACCTCAGGGTATTTTCATTAGAAAAGCATACACCACATGTTTCCTGAGATCTGTAGACAAAGTTGCTTTTTCATACACCTAAGTTACACTGGTTATGTATACCCTTTCTACCTACATTATGGTTCAGGTTGTAAATGCCTCTTACTTTTTTCAGAGTTCTATTTCAGGATTTTATTTCTTGTTGCTTTTGGGTGAATTCCCAAAGGAGAAGAGGGAAATGCTAACCTTATGCTACCATGTGCGACCACAGTCATGCATACGTTTTGTACTGAATTTTTTTTGCAGTTTGAATATGATGTACATGTATATAGTTTGTTTATTTATCCTGCTTGGTGTTTTCTGAGCTTCCTGAATCTGTAGTTTGGTGTCTGTCTGTAGTTTTGGAAAATTCTCAGCCATTATTACTTCAAATCTTTCTTTTGTTCCTTTCCTTCTTCTGGTGTTCCCATTATGATTCCAAATGTTACACCTTTTAAAGTTGTCCCACAGTTCTTAGGTATTGCTTTATCTTTTTTCATTCTTTTTTCTCTTTTCAGTTTGAGAACTTTCTATTAATATATCTTCAAATGTACTGATTCTTTCTTCAGCTGTGTTTAATCTACTTATGAGCCCATCAGAGGCATTGTTCATTTCTGTTACCATGTTGTTGATTTCTGGCATTTCCCTTTGGTTTTTTCTTGGAGTTTTCATCTCTCCATTTACATTTACCCATCTGTTCTTGCATGTTGTCCACTTTTTCCATTAAATCCTTTGACATATTGATCATAATCATTTTAAATTCCAAGTCTGACAATTTCAAAATCTGTGCCATATCTGAGTGTGGTCCTGGTGCTTCCTTTGTCTCTTCAGACTGTGTTTTTTGCTTTTTAACATGCTTATAATATTTTGCTGATAGCTAGATATATCAGGTAAAAGGAAATGAGATAAATGATCCTTTAATATGAAGTTTTTTATTTTTTTGTTTGTTTTTTGTTTTTTGAGATGGAGTCTCACTCTGTCGTCCAGGCTAGAGTACAGTGGCAGGATCTCAGCTCACTGCAAGCTCTGCCTACCGGGTTCACGCCATTTTCCTGCCTCAGCCTCCCGCGTAGCTGGGACTGCAGGCGCCCACCACCACACCCGGCTAATTTTTTGTATTTTTAGTAGAGACAGGGTTTCACTGTGTTAGCCAGGATGGTCTCGATCTCCTGACCTTGTGATCCACCCACCTCGGCTTCCCAAAGTGGTGGGATTACAGGCGTGAGCCACCGTACCCAGCCTCATGTGAGGTTTTATGTTTATCTGGCTGGGAGTTATCGTTTTCTGTAGCTGTAGGTGTCAAAGGCTAAAATTTCCTTTAGTGTCTTGTTTTTGTCTCTCTTGTCTCTGGGTTTCCCTAGAGACTGCTTTTTAATAAGAATCTGAAGGAGCTCTTTCAACTATAATGCCCAGGATCCTGACTGATGTGGTGGTAAGGTAAGGGGAGGTGACGCGTTCTGGAGTCCTGTGCATAGGTCTCCCTTCTTTTAGGAAGCCTGTGTTCTAGACTGTGACCTTCATAAGTACTTCTCAGCCCACCACCCCTTGGGTGAGACATGAAGGCTAGAGAGGGGTGGAATTGAGTATTTCCACAGGTAAGTTAGGTTCTTGTAAAACCTCAGTTGGTTAGGTTCTGGCAAAATTAGTTTCTCTTGAGGAAAGGATTTTGTTAAGGAGACCAGAACGCTCTCCTCGTTTATTTTGAAATGAGTATTTCTAAATAGGGAGTATTTCTAAATGGCTACCTTTCCCCTCCTGCTGTCAGAAGCAGGAAAGAATTGTTGTCTGATCTTTACCCTGAGACCTGGTAGGGCTCCTGGAGATAAAACTCCCAAAACTTTGTGAGTCCCTCTGAAACTGGGCCCCTGGAGTTTTTAACTCTCAAGCTTATCCACACTGAGCCTCCATCAGTTCCTCAGTCACAGTTAATTGCTTCTACCAGTATTGGCTCCAGCTGTGAGCTTCTGCTCCTGGCCTTTCTGTCCCCAGTAATTCTTGTGATTCTCTCAGTCTGCCTCTCTCTTTCTCTAGTTTTCAGGGCAGCAGTTTGCCCTGTGACATTCATTCTTTGATGTATCTAAGAAGAGTTACTGATTTTCAGTTTGTTAACAGTTTTTTTCTTCTGGGAACTGGAGTGATGATTTCCAAGCTCTTCATATGTGAGACTGGAAATCAGAAGTCTCTGCCTTACACATATAACTGATCTTTCCCTGGAGTTCTTCCAGCAGGCATTCCAAATGAGGTGTTATTTGCAGATATATATGAAGAAAACTGTTGTTTCTCTTCTATTCAAAACAAAATGTAAGGTATCGACCACGTAATCAGTGATAATATCTATCACCCTTTCCTATGCCAAAAAAGAATTCTGTGGATATCACAAGGGCCTGGTTTTATTTTTTAGCTTTCTGCTGTTGGCCTTTTGTTAAAATACTTGTTTTAGAAGGTAAGTGATAGACTTAATTTTATTTTGTATTGAGGTTTTTTAAAAAAAAAAAAAATTACGGCAATAGCCCACGTCTACTTGGACAGTTTTCTTTTTCCTACATTGGTCTGTTAAAGATATTTCTTCCTTCCTTATCAGAATTAAAGAGCCCTCCTTTTATAAATTTATTCCATTAAAGACGAAAAGTAAATGCCTTTCAAACTGTTTTCCGTAAACAGTATGTAATGAGAAATACCGTAGCAGTATTTTCTTTTACTATTTGTAGTATCATTTTAAGGCATTAAAAAGCATTATTTGTTCTTTAGAATGGATATACAGTTTTCAGATCTGAGTTATATCATCTCTAGCCTCGGGAAAGAAAAAGATTGGTGTGTTTTAATTTGTTACGTGCTCTTTGTATCTTTTCAGGCTATTGGCATGGCTGGAGTTGTTATGATTTTGTATTTGATTTTTCTAGAAAATAAAAGACAAATGACAATAAAACAAAGGAAATTACTTGTATGGGTTTAATGTCCAGAAATACATCATCTTAAACTCTTCCCCTAACTATTACTATCAGTGGAATCTGGTACAATCAGTTAAATGTATAAAATGAGGAAATGGAAAGCTTTAAGCATGGTAGTAGACTTTATGAAATTGTACTGCCCTTATGTTTTCTTTCTGATCTGACACTGATAGGTTAGTTGTGTCACTCATTCAACTCTAGCTATAGAAAGTAGGAGTTGGTACCAGTGACTACTAGGCCACTTGAACCTCTAAACTTAAAAATTACAGCTTTCCTTACTTGCCAGATGATAGCTTATTGTGTATGATGTTTTCAAAACTCTTTCAGTCACAGGTAAAATTAAATAAAGACTGAAAACATTTAAATCAAGCAAAATAATAAAGGCACAATCAACCATGAAGTAACATTATATCAAGCTAAAGTTACTCTTTTTCAATAGAAGAAAAAAACAAAATACTTAATGCTAAACACTGTTAGTTTTCAGTTAATCTGTACTGACAACATTACTACTTTCCTCTAGGTTAGGGGTGAGCAAAATTTTTCTATAAAGAGCAAGATTTATAATATATTATTAATATATTTATTTTACATATATTTCACATACATAGTTTCTGTTACATATTTTAAATATATTTTTTAAATGACTTAAATTTAAAAATGGTTCTTAGCTCCAGAGCTGTAGAAAACCAGCCTTGGCCTGGGTTTTGGCAGTGGCTTGCTGACCCTTGCTATAGATGATACATTGGAAAATACTGCCTAAATATACTGCACCCAGGACCCCAAATAGGATTCAGAGAACATTGGTCATTTCTTGAAAGAAAGGGGCTTTTGTATTGTCCTATCAAACGTCATCTGTGCACCTTATTAAAAATACTACAGCTCAGATGAGAACAAGAAAACAATGCCGTACATGTGTATGAAATTTGCCTAAACCACAAACTAATTTTTAAAGCTGAATAATGTATATGACAAGTTTTTGAAAGAACAAAAATTCTTAACTTGGAGACCATGGAGTTGATAGGCTCTTTAAAGGGAGTCTATGTGGCCCCCAAATTTGTATATAAAATTTTAGATACCTACACTTTTCTGTGGAGTAGATCTACAAGATTTTTTTTTTTTTTTTTTTTTTTGAGACGGAGTCTCGCTCTGTCGCCCAGGCTGGAGTGCAGTGGCCGGATCTCAGCTCACTGCAAGCTCCACCTCCCAGGTTTACACCATTCTCCTGCCTCAGCCTCCGGAGTAGCTGGGACTGCAGGCGCCTGCCACCTCGCCCGGCTAGTTTTTTGTATTTTTTTTAGTAGAGGCGGGGTTTCACCGCGTTAGCCAGGATGGTCTCGATCTCCTGACCTCGTGTTCCGCCCGTCTCGGCCTCCCAAAGTGCTGGGATTACAGGCTTGAGCCACCGCGCCCGGCCAGATCTACAAGATTTATATGACCCCAAAGATTAATAACCCACTGTTGAAGTGCTTTTAATCAATCACCTGACACATGAAAAATTTATTAATACATCTCTTGGTTTTTGTCAGTTAATGACAAGCAGTGTAGTGAGGTTTTGTAGGAGTGAAGGCTGAGTCAGGCATTAATAGATGGTTATAGGAGGCTGTCAACCTTTGTCTAGCGATTGAACAGCCATGTACTTGTAAGCAGCACAGTTGCTGATAGGTGTGCCACAGACAAACAAAAGCAAAAGCAGGTACAGAAGAGACCAGGTTGGTATCTTGGATTTAAGTCACAAAGCAGAGGAATAGCAAGAACAGGGGATCAGGTTTAAGGTAGCTCAAAGAAACTTCTACATGGGTTTGGTTACGGTCACTGCCAACTTTTTGGTACTGAGTCATACACAAGATGGTTCTCATGTCATGTTTGTCTTCTTCAGGTCACCTTGAATTCTAATACTACATCAGACAACTGAATTGGATTTTTTTTTTCCTTCGATTATAGTGAAGTACACATGATATAAAATTTACCATTTGCCATTTTAACTATTTTTAAATGTACAGTTTGGTAGCGTTAAATATATTCATATTGTGCTACCATCACTACCATCTATCAATAGCTGTCTTCCTCTTACAAAACTGAAACCGTACCCATTAAACAGTAACTCCATTTCCATCCTCCCAGCCCCCTTGCCACCATCATTCTACTTTCTGTGTATGAGTTGGACTGTTCTAGCCACCTCATATCAGAGGTAGCATAGTATTTGTCTTTTTCTGTCTAACCTAATGTCCTCAAGGTTTATCCATGTTCTAGAATGCGTCGGAACTTCTTTTGAAGGCTGAATTATATAAACATGTAATATAATATAATTTTGTTTATCCATTTATTAGTTGATGGACAGTTGAGTTGCTTCCACATTTTAACTATTGTGGATAATGCTGCTATGAACATGGATGTACCAAATACATTTTCAGGTCCCTGCTCTTGACTGTTTTAGATATATACCCAGAGTGGAATTGCTGGATCATATGGTAGTCCTTTTAAAATTTTTTTGGGTAACTGCCATACTGTTTTCCATAGTGGTGCTATAATTTTACTTTCCCACCACCAGTGCACATAGGTTCCAATTTATCCATATCCTCACCAACACTTAGCAGCCATCTGAATGAGTGTGGGTTGATGAACAGGGTTTTTAAGGAAAATGTGAAGTGCTGGAGAATTTCTTGTAATCTAGACACAGTAAATAATCACGCAGATGGTCATATTGCTCTTTCAGCATGCCAACAGAAGGAATAATTAGTTGGTTCCCTGTAGCAAATGCCAAGTATCAGTAATTTTTCTATGTATAGTATTAAATTTGATTTTTTTAAATGTTTAGGAATTTTCTCTTAGCATAAAATTAAATGTTCCTAATTAGTTTGTTAGTTGTGTTTTTGAAAGTATTTTAGACAAGATTTGAGTTTTATATGGGTGTGTAATACTTCCCCTAACATAGGCAGAACAGGGTTTTCACTGAGTTCATTAGTGAAGTACTAAACATTCACAAAGCCTATTTGGAGATTTGGAGGATAATAAATACAACTATTAACAATTGTAGAAGGACATTTTAAGAGACAATGTGGGCTTAAAGTCAGAAAAATTGAGTTGACATGTAGCGCTGTCACTTTCTAGCTATCTGATCTTGGGCAGCTGAGCTTACATAAAATGAATGGTAATAATAATGACCCCTAAAAATGTTATGATAAATGTATAATCTTATAAAAAATCTAAGAAATGTTTAGAGAAATCTTCCATCTTTAAGAAACTAAGCATTATTTTGATTTTTTTAAACTGGCATTTATAGTAGGTATTTTCTTTTTGAATAATTGTTTCTGTAAATAACTGTTTTACTTTTTATCAAAAGGCATGGCTTTGGGAAGAAGACAAGAATTTGAGATCTGGCGTGAGAAAATATGGAGAAGGAAACTGGTCTAAAATACTACTGCATTATAAATTCAACAACCGGACAAGTGTCATGTTAAAAGACAGATGGAGGACCATGAAGAAACTAAAACTGATTTGCTCAGACAGCGAAGACTGATTGTGTTTGTAAAAGCTTGATGAAAGGACAGTTAAGTATTTTGATCACTGCATTTTGTTTGAAACTTGTGTCATTTATGTATTTTAAAACTTTGAGGGTTTGTGCTATAAGAGTTAAAGCATATGCTATCATTGTATTCTTTAAGAACCTTATTTTGATAAAATGTAAATTTGTTGAACCCTGCCACATTTAGTATCCCCACCCCCAAATCGTGTTCCAATGAAAAAACTAAAACATGATCCAAAAAAAAAAAGAATTTCAGTTAACCTATTTTGTGTCTCTAGGCTGACTTCAACCCTGTAACATAACCCATTAAAATGAATTTTCTTTTTTTTTTTTTTTAAGACAGAGTCTCTGTCGCCCAGGCTGGAGTGCAATGGCACAATATCAGCTTACTGCAACCTCTGCCTCCCAGGTTCAAACGATTCTCCTGCCTCAGCCTCCTGAGTAGCTGGGATTACAGGCACCCACCACCACGCCCAGCTAATTTTTGTATTTTTAGTAGAGACAGGGTTTCACCATGCTAGTCAGGATGGTCTTGAACTCCTGACTTCATGATCCGCTCACCTCAGCCTCCCAAAGTGCTGAGATTACAGATGTGAGCCACTGTCTCCTGCCTAAAATGAATTTTCTAGATTATTGAATAACAATAGTCCTTTGATATGAGATAACGACTTGGTTTATGACCTTAATATACTACTTAATTACTTAAGATGTTTATTAATAGAATGATAAATGTACAAAGTAACCTATAAGCATGACATACTTTTGCTTTCAGTAGTTTTATGTAAATAAAAAAACTTGAAAATAGTAATACCTGAGGACCCATGGGAACAATAGACACTGGGGAGGTAGGGTGGGGAGCGGGAGGAAAAGCTGAAAAACTACCTACTGGGTACTCTGCTCACTACCTGGGTGACAGGATCATCTGTACCCCAAACCTCAGCATTATACAGTGTACCCAGCTAACAAACCTGCCCATGTGTTCCCTGAATCTAAAAGAAAAATCGAAATGATTTTTTTAAAAAAGAAAAAGACAATAATATTACCCATGGTACAAAATTTGTACTATTAGCAAGAATCATTTTGTGTCACATTTAGAAACAATTTGACTTTTGTTCCAGTGTTTAAACTTTGACAAAAATGGTTTTGAATAGATCTTTATAACCTAATGCCATAAATACAAGATTCTCTGATACCGTCATTTAATATATCAATATTGGGCCTAAAACCGTATTCTGCAAAGCTTAAATTGGTATTAACTATGATCATCTTGATGTCTATGATAGATAATAAACAATGTCATATATACCTAACTAAGCAATTTTGGTTTTTCACCATTTTATTCTTTAAAAGATTTAGACTAACAGAATTATTTAGCATTTTGAGTTATGTGCTTTATTTAGCAAGTGAGTAAAAATATTGGAATATTGAAGTATTTGCATAAAAAATCAAATGGTAGTGTTTCGTAATCTCTATTGTATTTCCTATTAAGGTTTCATTATTACTTTCCCATTGTTCCTGAATTTGTTATCCTATATATAAACAGAAACATGGATGAGTACCATATGCTTCCTGACTCCTTTCTCCTTTATCTTGTTACACCAAGAGATACTGTCACTGTTTACTGGAGACATTTTGTTGATTAGTGCCAAGGCTGGCATCATGAGTCAAAATAGACTTAAGTCAACCTCATTCCAAACACCTGCCATAAATCATCAAATCTAAGTTGCCATTAATTGTAAGATGCCCTGTTATTTCACATACAACTAGAAGAGAAGATCGGAATCAATTATAGTATGGTGCTTTCTTATTTTGAATTTTACTTACTAGAAGAGCTAGTTTAGATTTATTTAAACATAAGATTTTTATCACATAACTTGTGGATACTAAAAAAGAGAAATTATAAGAAATAAGTTGGGTAATATATTCCTAAAACCTCATCTTCTCCAGTTTGAATCTTTTTTGAATCCTTGTTTTTTGTTTTGTTTTGTTTTGTTTTGTTTTGAGACAGGGTCTCACTTAATTGCCCAGCCTGGAGTGCAGTGGCACAATCACAGCTCACTGCAGCCTCTATTTCCTAGGCTCACGTGATTCTCCTACCTCGGCCTCCCAAGTAGCTGGGACTACAGGCATGTCCCACCACGCCCAGCTAATTTTTGTATTTCTTTGTAGAAATGGGGCTTCTCCATGTTGTCCAGGTTGGTCACAAACTCCTGGGCTCAACAGATCCATCCACCTCAACCCGCCAAGGTGCTGGGATCACAGGCATGAGCCCCTGAGCCTGGCCCCTGAATTCTTTTTAGTCAGAAATTTTGTTGAGATAATGTAAATTCACATGCAATTGTAAGACATAATACAGAGATCTCTTGTACACTTGGCCCTGTTTCACCAACTATTAATATTTTGTAAAACTATAGTGTATCACCACCAGGATATTGATATTGATACAATCCATTCATCTTATTTCCCCAGTTTTGTATTCTGTGTATTTAGATCTAAACAGTATTATCACTTGTGTTCATATATCTACCACCATGAGGATCCCTCACATTGCTCTTTTGTAAGCATACATACCTCTTTCCTGCATCTTTCCCTCAAATCCTGACAGCCACTAACCTATCCTCTATTTATAAAAGTTAATCATTTTAAAATCTTATATAGTGACATCACCAAAAATAGCAAAAGAGGGAGCTCCAAAGATCTGTCCCTCCACTGAAACAACCATTGCTAGCAAAAACTTCAGATCAATTTTTGGATCTCTACTATCTAATAACAACAACCAGAGGAATGCTTAATGAAGAGGCTATTTAACTTTGGTAAAAGGGTTTTTGTGGTTTTGCTTACGTACCTACCATGCCCTGTCTCCCAGCCAGGCAACAGCTGAGAGGACAGTGTCCTGTGTTCCTAGTGCATCTTGATGGTGCCAGAGCAAGCAATACAGATCTTGCTCTCACAGAAATGTGAGTGTGCTTTGACCTGCCTGGCAGTTCTGAAGGTTCAGCTCAGAGGTTTGCCTTTGTTTTGCCCCCTCCACACTAGAACAGCCTCACAGTGCTTATCAGAAGCATTACCTGCAGCCATCTGGGGTTGGGGACAGCAAATGGGGCAGGCAGCAAACACGAAAAACCTCGGGCAGGAAGTAACTAGGAGGATGATATGTGGGAGAGAGAAGGCTCAGAAGGGCCCTTGTCTGTACTAAGTGGCCTCTGGAAGGCCACACACATGCCTAGCACTGGGCACAGTTTTGGAAAAGACCTGAGAGGACTCTAGGCCTTCACCTCTGACTGATCGTTAGGCTCCACAGAAGCAGAAGGTGGAAGCTAAAGCAGAATTTAGGTGGCCTGGCTAAGCGCTGAAGGAATGCCCAAGTCAGAACCAATCTGCAAAGCCTGGGAGAATTATCATTTTTAATGTTTTATTTTATTTTATTTTTTAAAATAGAGACATGCTCTTGCTTTGTTGCCTGGGCTTGTCTTTAACTCCTGGCCTCAAGAAATCCTCCTGCCTCAACCTTTCAAAGTGAAAGAGTACCTTTTGTTCTTTTGAACTCATGACAGTTAAGGAAATTAAGTGAAATGCTGTACATATTCTTTGCCATCTTTCACTCAGCATGTTTGTACAATTCATATTGTAACTGTAGCTTGTTTATTTTTATTTCTACACTAATCCACTACATGATTCTATCAATAATTTACACCGTTGGTGAGCACTTGAAGTAAAAATGAAGACCAAACATGTGAAAAACAGACTTTTTATTTGGAGCTTGCTGTAGCAAAGGAATTAGCCACAATCTCTTGTGTTTGGCAGACTCAAAGGCAGGTAGGTTTATAGTGGGGGGAAAAGGGGCAAGGTTCAGGAATGCTCTGCTTGAAGGGTGTTGGCATGAGGAAGCTGGAGGCTGACCAGCTAGCCGCAGGTGTCTTACAGGATTGTTTTGGGGAACCTATTTGGCTTTCTCTGATTGGTCCCAAGTTGGAAGAGGGAGCAAAATGTTGGGATGATGACAGTAACTGAGTAAGTCTTGACCATTCTGAATGGATCGCTGTGGAGATTGTGGTTTGGCTTCCAGGACTGGTTGCTGCAGAAGGCGTGAGTGAGAGTTCTATTGTCACAGAAGCTTGTCCATCGTCCGTATATATGCCTAGTCTCAGAGTTGTTTCCAGTTTCTGACTGCTAGGCTTTTACATTTCATATGAAGTATGATTTTAGAAATAATATGAACTCTTGCCTGCCAGAACAAGGTCCAATGAATTTTAAAGGAAGGAAACACAATCTAGAACTCGACAGCAAAGGTCAACTATGAAAAGTTAGGTATGAATATTATAATTCCTAGAGCAAGCATTTTTTCAAAAATATAGACAGCCAATAGAATACTAAATTACTTTATTTGGAATACTAATGAACCAGAAACAAAAAGTAGTGAAACAAAATCACAGGGACAAACAGAAGAAACAAAATGGTACACCTAAATCCAACCACATCAATAGTTACATCAAATGTTAACGGTCTAAGCCAGAAGGCGCATGGCAAACTTCTGTAAAGAGCCAGATATTAGGCTTCGTGGGCCATACGGTCTGTGTACTCTGCCTCGAATTAGCCATAGGCAATATATAAATGAGTGAGTATGGGTGTGTTCCAACAAAACTATATTTACAACAACAAACAGGCTGGATTTAGCCACAGGTTATAGTTTCCTGACCTTTACTGTGGAATCTAGAGTGTGTTTCCTTCCTTTCAAATTCGTTGGACCTTGTTCTGGCAGGCAGTTAAGTTACTTCTGAATCTGAGAACTTCTTTTAATTCTCTTGTTTTTTTTTTTTTTTTTTTTTTTTTTTTTTTGAAACGGGAACTAGCTCTGTAGCCCAAGCTGGAGTGCAGTGGATCAGCCTAGTGATAAGAATTTGGGCTTCAGATA